AAGCACATGGAATGTGACTGCCCCTACTTGGTGCATGTACCCGTGGTCGCCTTCCGCTTGGAGCCCAAGAACCAGAGGGGTGCGTTTTCTGTGGATGGGGAGTTGATGATGTGTGAGGCTGTGCAGGGCCAGGTACACCCTGACTGTTTCTGGATGGTCAGTGGCAGCAGAGATGTCCCACCCAGCTGGGAGACCCAGCAAAGGCCACCTCCAGAGAAACCTTTATGACCTGGCCCCCTGTGCCTCTGTCTACTGTCTAGACTGAGATGGGCAACCTCCCTTCATTCCCTGGGATGGGACGGTCTGTCCATTGTTCACATGGAGGTGGTGGGACCCCTCTATAGAGTGCAGGCAGGTGGGGCTGTGCTTCGAGAAGACAAGCTCCAAAGGCCAGAATGAGACCCTGGGCAGGAGTGCTGGCTGGGCCAGTTGCCTGTGGAAGACCCCTCCAATTGTTGTAGAAATCCCTCAAGAATCAAATTCAAATAAAGTGACATTTCCAACCTGCTGGTCCTTCCTGGAGATGGGGGTGGAGTGAGGCAAACCAGCCAGGGCTACGGTATTGGATGATGGGTAGCACAGCCATCTTGTAGTATTTGGGATTGAAACCATGACCTCTAGCATGCTAGGTAAGCTGACTACCACTGAGACACAGTCCCGTGGCACAGTCATTTTGGTGCTAGGCACATGGACTCCTTATACTTACTGATAATCCATCTTCAGCCTGCAGACCCTGAGACTGGCCAGCTGCCCAACCCCACACAGGAAGACTACTCTGAGAGTCAGCCACACAGGACAAATGCAGAGGGAGGCCTGTCTGGATTGAGCAGGAAGTTAGAAGCCTTAGGGGAACTGGCAAATTCTGTCCTAATTTAGAGTGGTCTTGGTAGGTACTAGAGTACGTAACTGCGGGATGGGAAGGGGCCTCCATGTGGCTACAGGGAAGCTGTCATCTGCTTACTTCCCAGTGTGGCTGCTTTGGGGTCCCCTATACTCCTGCAATAACCCCCTCATATACCGCCAGTATACTCCCTCAGTAACCCCCTCATCCATCCTGCTCTGTAAGTAAACCCAAAGTCACTGGTTCCCCAGGGTGAACTCTGCTGGAACTGTAGTTTGTTGTTGGGACCTTAGGAAGGGGGGAGATGTTTACTCTCTCCAGGGAAGGAATTCTTGCAACAGATTTCATCGTCAAAAAAGGCAGGAAGTGGTTCTCCAGAACTGGGCAATCCCTTTGGTTTGTTGCCCAGAATTACTGACACCTGTCCATTGCCAGATCCTGTGGTGTCAGAAGGAGCCTGAATGGGATGGTTGTAGGCTGCTAGGGACCATAGGTACTTAAGAGGCAAGTGCTGTACTCCACACTACTAAGCTCAGTGTTGGCTGGGGGTGGGGTGGGAGTGGGGCTCTGGGCACACAGAGAAGAAAGGCAACAGAGCTTGAAGAGCAGAGGCAGGTTTAATGGTGTCACCTTGTCTTCATGAGCCAACCCCCCAAAAAATGCAAGTAAAAAGAAGTTTAATCACACAGCACTTTATACAGATATTGTAAGCAGTAGGCATTCACATCACCACACGAACGATGCCCTGGAACGCATAGCCCCACCAGGCACTCAGGATGCCCTCAAGGTACCGACTGGTTGTCCTTCCCGAGGTGGCAGCGCCTTGGCGGCCCTGGCACAGCACAGGTGTGGAGCCCACTTAAGGCTGACAAGACACATCATGCTTTGGCTTTTAATCTTTTTTTCCTGTTAAGAGTTAATATCTTTGCCTCTGATATTTATTTTTCTGACCTTAAATATTACATACATACACCAGAAATTACATAGCTGCAATGTGCTCAACAGCATCCTCTCAACTGGGACCTTCATATTATCAAAAGCTTAGAAAACTTGTAAACCTCTGGGCCTGGGGTGGGGGTGGGGGGGAGTGTCAGCTCCTGCAGCCTCGGTCCTCTGGACTACAACTGCGGAGTCTGTAAGCCAAGGGCTACTGGAAAGGTCAAGCCACATGGTGGGGAGCGGCCCTGGCTGGCCTGGCCTGGCTTGTGCACATGCTCCTGTTGCCTCAGTGAGGATTAAATGAGGCTGGAGGGGAGTATATTCGGTATAGACCACACGGGTGAGTCTTGGCACAACTGCCAGTGTCCCTGACAGCCATGGACTAGAAGGGCAAGGCACCTACAGCCATTTCTTTCCCCAGCAGCACCTTGTTGACTCCATGTTGGTGAGGGCCACTAGCTTCTCCTGGGTGTCACTCTAATCCTTAGCTCAGTTGCAACCTCTCTTAGAGAGTAAGTTCAACAGGCCTAAGGGTTAGAATGCACAGACAGGCCAGAGTCAGGATTCAGCAACAGTGGCTACAGCTCCCAAGAGATAGTGTTGACGCTGGGGAATTGGGAGGACCCAGTGGCGGTGGCAGCTGGAGAGTCCAGGGCACCGGGAGGCTACGGTCAAACTGAAGAGGATCAAAGGGACCAGGGGCATTGCAGGAGCAGCCCACACTTCATGCAAGGCACATCCACCCTCCTGCCCATCTGTAGACCCCAGTCCCAGAGTCTGACACCAGTTTCCCAACACCCTACCTCTGACCTGAGACAGGGACAGCAAGGGAGCATGTGCCAGGACATTCTGCCTGGGGCAACAAGTGGAAAATGGGTTCCGACGTTCTGTGCCTCAGGGGACCTGCCTTTTGAAACATCGCTTCGGGATAGAACGCAGCATCTCGGGACACTTCTTGCGCTTCAGCATCAAACTTGCCACGGAGAAGAGAGGGCGGTGGAGGGCTCGCACTGGGGACAAGGGTGGGGGGCAGGAAGAGGGGCTATTCCAGGGAGGGAGGGGGCAGGCAGCGGCTGGCCTCTCCCACCGTGAGGCTCCTCCTCTAGGGCTGGTGGCTACTTGTCCTCTGTGCTCTCAGGCATACCTGCCTCTAGCAGGGCAGCACGGAACTGTGTCAGGACGCCCCGGATGCTCTTGATGAAGCCCTTGGAGAGGGGGAAGAGGGGGAAGCCGATGTCGGGGTAGCCACTCTTCTCGGGCAGGAAGCTTCGGTAGCTCTTTCTCCGTTTCTTTGGTTTCACACTGGGTGGCACGGATGCATCGGGAGCTGTCTCAGAAGTCTGCTCCGTGTGGTCCCTGCTGGTTGAGGCTGGGCCTTGGGCACCACCCTCTGAGTCTGAGCCTTGGGAGGCCTCCCCAAGGGTCATCCTTGGATGGAGATGAGCACCTGGAGAAGGCTGGATTTGCTCGTCCACCTCTGGTCCCCTGAAACATGCACAGCACTATCAGGGCTGTCCCAGACAGACACCTGCTTTACTGAGTTCCTCTCTCCACTGGGGCTCCGGTGCTATCCTTACCTTTCCAATCCAGGTACCCAGGAGGCTAACGCACACCTTCCCATTGTCAGGGTTCAGGGTGGCCACTGCACTGGGAGAGGTAGCAAAAGCGGGGGGGGGGGGGGCGAGCTGGGGGGGGGGGAGCTGGATGTCGAACAGGTAGAGGCCATCTTCATAGGGGGTTCGAGTGGGGCCCTTGATCAGGGATGAGAAGAGGTCCTAGAAGGGAACATGGGCTGAGGTTGGCACCTGGGGTCTGGCATCACTGTCTCTCAGAGCACTGTGCAGATGTGGAGAGAGGGAGGCAGCACCCCAGAGCCACTCATCATGCAGACATAGTATGGTTCATTCACCAGGATCAGACCTGTCAGGAAGACAGTCTCCATGAGGGCAGGTTTGCCCTTGACCCGCAAGAAGACTGATGGTCAGTGTGCCCTCCACCAGCCCCCAGCACCACCCGCCAGCCCAAGCATACCTTGGATGGAGATGAGCACCTGGAGAAGGCTGGATTTGCTCGTCCACCTCTCCGTCCCCTGAAACATGTACAGCACTATCAGGGCTGTCCCAGACAGATACCTGCCTTGCTGAGTCCCTCTCTCCACTGGGGCTCCGGTGCTATCCTTACCTTTCCAATCCAGGTACACAGGAGGCTGACGCACACCTTCCCATTGTCATACAGGTTAGGGTTCAGGCAGCCACTGCACTCGGAGAGGTAGCAAAAGGGGGGGGGCACAGCTGGGTAGATGTTGGGGAGCTGGATGTCGAACAGGTAGAGGCCATCTTCATAGGGGGTTCGAGTGGGGCCCTTGATCAGGGCTGAGAAGAGGTCCTAGAAGGGAACGTGGGCTGAGGTTGGCACCTGGGGTCTGGTGTCACTGTCTCTCAGAGCACTGTGCAGATGTGGAGAGAGGAGGCAGCACCCCAGAGCCACTCATCATGCAGACATCGCATCCAAGTCTGTATCTGCTGGAGTGGCAGGAGTGTTGGGAGTCTCACA